GAAGCCAGACGTTTTCTCGAAAACCACTGAAGCGCAGTGACTGACACTTCTTTATCAGATTCCATCTTGACCAGCCGACTTGCGAATTCATCTCGACTCGTCTTGATTATTTTGTGTTTGACAACTGAGGCAAAATCACAAATCGGTTATTTAATACTGTGCATCGTTTAAGTGTCGCTATTTGATGGTTCTTTGAAACCGCTCAAGGCGACTTGTACTAGATCGATGTATTATCACGCATGCACTGCCGAGCGCATTGATCGCACGCACAAAATGTTATATCATTCAGTAGAGTTGCATGAATCATATCTTTCAATTTTATATTTCAGCTGTCGGTTTAAAAACCATTATATTTAGTTCCGCACTCACACTTGTAAAAGTAACAGCTGTTTCTGGTATACTTCTTACTGTACTGCACAACACTCCAGAMGCATTAGAATCCATACAAAAGGTTTTACCACTGGCGATAAAACTTCTTGGAGTCAGAGAAGGATCTATTAGTTTTATCGTGAAGTCATCCAGTTTGTCAGCCYTAAAAGAACTGTGGTCAAGCTATAAGGATGGATCACTTCAAGAAAACATCAGAAAAGTTCTTAATGGCATAAAAGAAGTCAGAGAAGTGTTTAATGGAGAGGAGATTGACGTGGAAGTCACCATTGATGAGGATGAATACAGGGATGCATGCTGGGACGCCGTTCTCCTGCAAATGGCGGGTAAAATGATATAATCTAGCTGATTACTTGAAAATGATATAGCTAATGAGCGCTAACATGCTGAACTTGTTAACATAAGCCCGAGCTGACGAAAATATACTAACACACAAGTGCAATATAAGGCTTGTTGTTCATTTGAAATAGCTCGAAGTACGGATTTGAGTTTTGACCAGTTCAGCACAAATTATATAGTAACTTATAGTCCATGAAAGGTAAACTAAACTGCAGACAAAGTATCAAAAAAAACTTTGAAATTACTTTGGAGTTCTTTTATTGGTGTAACTGAGTGCAATCTAGCAAAACTCTTTGTTTTTTCTCAGTGGTAGAACATTTCTCAAAATGCAGCGGTGTGGTTTTCACGTCATTTTCAAGTTTTAAGCTAGATCATGCAGGCGTGATTACAAAAATGGCAGCTAGTAAAGATTTTTTGTTGAATTTTGAAGCGTTGGTTGACAAAGAACACAGGGAATCGGTAGTACAGTTATTTATGTCACTCCCTACCCGTAACATAAATACTACCCATTATACTGCATGGCCTGAGCTCTGTTTGCAGGGTGCGCATTCAACTGAGACAAATTGGGTTAAAATGGCTAAGATGAAATCTCATAGCCGCTTTAATAATAAAAATGAATAAACACGAGCAATTAACATATCATACCCTAAATAGGGTAAAACAAGTCTCATGTAGCCCAGCAAAGGTGTGGTCATACAAAAATTGTGAAAACGGCCTAGTGGACAGGAGATGGGGAGGTAGTGGGTAAAAATCGTGAGATAGCTTCGTGAACTTCAAATCGCGTCGTTCTCAGCTAGCAAGTCCAAGCAGAATGGTCTTGACAGAGAAATCACGTGATAGATGGGCCCCTGAGGGGGATACCTAAAATGACCCAGTCCCCATACCCTGTCCAGGCAGAATCACTTCCGTTAAATTAAATGCTACTGATATCGGAAATAATCCAACAACTACACCATATTGATAAGATATAAGCTACAATAAACTAGGGAGTGAACATAAAAATTCTATTTGTAAACAAWTATTTCATTTTGTACTTTTGTGCATGTTGTRATATTTYGCATATGTTTTGCTCCATAACAAAAAAAAAATAGATTTGGAATTTTGTATTTTTGTGCTTTCTCCTAATAAAATTAACTTAGTTTCCTCAAACATTCGATCTTTTCTTTTCAAGTTTTAGCGCGTTCTAGATTACTTTTCAGTTTTCCTCAGATTATGCCTTTATTTTGACGTTCAAGTAACTTACTCCGAAATTTTTTACGCTAAAATCCGTCTGAGAATTGGACCAACGAACCGTGTTCTGCACACYCAGCGAACTACGTGATTATATATACTAGATGCTGATTGGCTTTCAATAACGCTCTTACTCTCATATAATCGGATGTAAATTTTACCGCAAGTTTTCGCTTATATGTCATAAGCTGCTAAGTTTTTCACGGTAATGTCGGTCTAGTAATTAATCACATGAAAAATCATTACCATCAGTGAAAACATTATTGTTTTTTGAAATATAATAATGGTACTTACATATTTTGTTCATATTTCAAAGATCGATACAAACCGACTGAAGAGATTTCCTCTGTAGGCAGAGAACATAGGCACTCGTCATGTGACATGGATTTACCCAGAGTTACCATGACCGAGCTGGCCTGGAGCGATTGGATTAACGTTAGAGAAATCTACAACGAATCAAGGATAGAATCAAAAAAGAGGAGAAAAGCAGAAAAGAAAGTTGCCGAGCTAGCGCGCGAGTTACACATCCTTGAGAACGAGAAACAACCCTTAGTAAGTGAGAGGATTGCTCAGCTGCAGAGCGAATTACAAAGAATCCAACATGAACGTGAAGAAGTGAACAGGGAGAATGTGAGTTTGAAGAGCAAGTTGAACGAAGTAACATCAAAACTGCTTGCAGAGCAAGAGTTTCTCAGTAATCAATTAGATCCTTTGTGGGAAAGCAAACCAGAAGAATTGTT